CCCAGTCCAGAGAACCTCTGAACCCTAGATGAGAAGGGTCAGTCTTGACCACCGTCTTGGCGGCACTCTCAACCCTCCTACCGGGGATGGGGTCCGGGTCCCACTCCCCCTTGGCTTGGGGGGACCCCTTGGCCTCCCTCGGTGTTATAGATGCGGCGCTCTCACAGGAAGGGTCATTGCCTTGGCAGATGCATTCGGCTCCCCCGGGGGCTATCCTATCCCGGAGCACCTCCACCTCATGCTGAAGGGGTATGAAGAGAGGACTTAGGGGGGAAAGGGGAGAAGGGATTCGAGAAGAGCTCCCTTCGATACATTCGGAAGTTCATAGCACTCAGGTCCAGAATCTGAGAAAGACGTTGTTGGAAATTACCTAGAAAGGGAGTGGAAGGAAAAGGAACAAAGGTGGAGTGTCGAGAATTGGAGAATCTGTGAGTTGAGTTCACTCAAAGACGAAAACACTTGGAGGCAAAATGACAAGAATTCTGTTGTCGAAGCCACTATTTAAAGAAGAGCGAATGGCCCAAATTTCTCAAGATCTAACGACTGAGAAGCCACCGCCTCCATGACCCAATCATGGCGCACCGCGTGACGCTCACCCTCGGAAGATGAAACGACGCGCTGGCAATGGATCGGATTATTGCAAATCCAACAAACGAGAAACACCTATGCACCTACTATCCAGCCGTGTTGCACTCCTGAGCACTCACCCTCGGAAGACGAAATGACGCTCAAGACAAGCGAGCAAACTCCACCCAAAGCAACCCGTCGGTTTGAGCGACCCGTTCTAGCGGATGCGCACATCGGTTTGATCGGAAAGCCATTTCACGCACGGACCCTCGGGCCCCCTTTGGGCCCCTTCGGCTTCACAGACGCCCGACCTAAGCAGCCCTCGACTTCACAGGTCCTCGGCCTCCCCTTGGCCCTCGGCCCAGACGGCGACGTCTAAACATCTGCGCTGAGCGCGCCTTCCGGATCACCCGACCGAAGCAGCAGTGCCATAGATTACTCGCAGCCTCGACCTGACTCATGAAGATGAACTAGGCAGAGACGCAAAAGAGGACGCCACTTCAGGGTACACCTTAGTTGTCGGGCCCACTAGCGCTCACCATTACTACTCCTATTGGCTGAAACTGAATTCTTCTCCTCGGCCTCGGGAGTAGGGGGCAAGTGATGTGGGGTGACCCAACCCACTCCATTCGAGGCTGGGAGGCCCAACCCACGAGCGCCAGAACAGGGAACGAGATCCACTACAGCGGGGGTTACCCTGCCCCCATCGTACGAAGCCAACCGCGATGCGCTCACATGACCTTGCCAAACTTGTTGTAGGCTCCCATACGGCTCCCATTTCAG